CCCTTTGTAAGCGTTTGTGATTCTCTTTTTCTCTTTAAAAGACTGTAGGAAAGGTCCCTTGATTATCTCCCTTCCCATGACCAGGCTTAACCAACACTTATGTTTAATAGGATGACCAGGCTTAACCAACACCTGCATATTAGAGTGATATTTTAAAATAATTATTTGATGACCCTGGGCAATTTAAACATTATATTTCTGAGAGCTTTATTTTGTATTTACTTTCAATCAGAAATGCATACCATGTGAACAAAGTGTGGAGATTCAAGAATGGTTTCTTAATATTCTGCTCCATTAAAAATAAAGTTTTATGAAGATGGATGGCATCTCTGTGCCTATAGTTTGTTTTTAGGTTTGAAAAACAGTGATTTAACATGGATCCATTTTTGAAAAAGTATGTCCTTCTATGTATCAAAAAAAAAAATAACAGAGCATAAAATGAAATTCTGTCGAGGCCGAACGTTGGTGTAATTGGAGGAATAATGATGTCGCCCCTCTCAGTGGTTCTGTGGGCTTAGCTCATCTGCTGGCTGTTCACAGCAATCCCGCAAGTCTAGGTGTATATTTAGTTCTACCCATGAAGTAGCTGGCAATTATCCTAACACTACACAATTAATAAGTGCATGTCGTACCAAGAATGCCATGAGGTCTCTCCCCAGTCTCATTTTCCTCCAAGGGCCAGCTACTTTAATAAGACAGGTTCTAATTCTTCTCACGGCATGCTGCTATATAGCTCTTAATTTTCGAATTTGTATATTTAAATGTCATGACTGCTGCTTGCCATCACAACACCCTCCATTAGTCAGGGGTTTGGAGAGAGGAGATGGTGAAGCTTGGAGGAACTGTGAGGAGCTAGGCCAGAGCCACCATGTCCTCTGCCAGGTCGCTGCTCGCAGACAGGCCTTCATCCAAGAGTGGCAGCAGAGTGGAGAGTGCTGCCCAAGGGAGTGGTTTGTTGAATTTCTTCATCTGTGGATTCCACTGACAGTGTCAGGCACTGGTTTTTAGCAAATGAGACACTCCCTTCCTATTTGTTGTCTGTATAATCATAGGAGCCACTGTCAGGAGCTCTAGCACTACTTGAACCTGCTATAAAATAGTCATTCTGTGCATTCTAATTCCTGTGCCTCTTTGGATCTGCCCAGTTCTTTCCTTCCCCACTGCTTGTGGTTCAGGGCCCTGATCATTTCCTTCATATTGTATAATGCTACTCTCCTAGCCAGCTCTACATATTGTATAATGCTACTCTCCTAGCCAGCTCTACATCGCAGCCCTACGAGGATCAAGCTGGTCTTTGTAAACACAGAGCTAGTCCTGTCACTTCTCCCATTCAGAATCACCCTTGGCATTGCATACCATCCAGTAGTCATCTGGGCCAGCCTGCCTTTCCAGCCTGCTGCCCCTCGTCCATTCTTATACACACACCTGGGCATCAATGCCTAATTACAGACATTGACCCAGGTTCTTGTCATCACAGTTGCTTTGAATATTCAGTCCTCTTTTGGGTCAGCTTCTCTCCCCTAGTCCACTTGGGGACTTCTTTAAAATTAAAGGATCACTTCTTCCAGAAAGTTCTTCCTGGCACATCCATACTATTCATACTTCAGTCTCTTCTCTGATGCCCCAGTGGATCTTTGATGCCCTGTGATGGGCAGCTGTCACACTGTCTTATAAATGTTGACGTATGTTCCTCTGTCCCCCTGCCGGATTCTGAGACAAGAGGGGAAAGGCCTTAGTCTCACCTCTGTGTGCCTCACCCCTGGCAGTGCACCCGGCACGGGGTCATTTCTCAGGTCATGCATATCGATTTGGATCGAACTGATCCCCTCTAGGTGCTTCTAAAAGCAATGCCCTGTCTTACTTTGCTGTGATGATCACATTTGCTCTCTGAATTAGGTATTACCTTTGTGTGATTAAAGCATCAGGAATCTCTGTACAGAAACAGGCCATAGAACATGGGCAAGAAAGGGCAGTAGGAATCTCTGTAATAAGACTTTGGACATTTGACTAGGGACTGCGGTAATTGCTAAAGGAACATTCTTGTTCCACAGATATCTTGGCCCTTGACTTTAGATTCCCATATGTATCTGTTTGTTCTCATGCTGCTAATAAAGACATACCTGAGACTGGGTATTTTATAAAGCAAAGAGGTGTAATTGACTCATAGTTTCACATGGCTGGGGAGGCCTCACAATCATGGCGGAAGGCAAAGGAGAAGCAAAGGCATGTCTTACATGGTGGCAGGCAAGAAAAGAGCTTGCGCGGGGGAACTCCCATTTATAAAACCATCAGATCTTATGAGAGTACTGACTACCACAAGAACAGTGTGGGGAAGCCACCCCCATGATTCAATTATCTCCACCTGGCCCTGCCCTTGACACATGGAGAACATTACAATTACAGGTGAGATTTGGGTGGGAACGCAGCCGAACCATATCTTTGAATAGTTTACATTCAGAGATCACCCTAATTACCTACAATTCAGTATACTTGATGTTTGAACAACATGCATTTGGGGCACCCCCCCATGCTGTTGGAAATCTGTGTATAATTTTTGACTCCCCAAAACATAACCACTGTTAGCCAGTTGTTGACCAGAGCCTTTCTGATAACATAAACACCTCATTAACACATATTTTGTATGCTCTGTTTATTATATGCCATATTCCTACAATAAAGTAAGCTAGAGAAAAGAGTTATTAAGAAACTCTTAAAAAGAACAAAATACATTCACTATTCATCAAGGGAAGTGGATCATCATAAATGCCTTCAGCCTCACCATCTTCAAGTTTAGTAAACCAGGGAGGAGGAGGAGCTGGTCTTGCTGTCTTGTGGGTGGTGGATGTAGAAGAGGGGGAAGAGGTGGGAGGGGAGGCAGGAGAGACAGGTATACTCTGCTTAACTTCTGTTGCAAAAAACCTGCATTTAAGTGGACCGAGCGGTTCAAACCCATGTTGTTCAAGAGACTCTTTGCTGATCCTGAAAGATGTTAGGTGGGATAGAATGGGCCAATGAGAATTTTGTTCTCATTATTAAAAAAAAAATTGCAAAAAATATTTTTAATTTTTATCTCAAAAAGACATGGATATTTTGAATTCATTATGATATATGGGAAAGGAAGTGGTGGAAGTATATTCATAACCAACATGGCTTGAGTTGATTACCAGTTTTGAAAAGTTAGCATTTATGTCTGAATGAGTATGTTAGTGCCACTTTCCAATTCATATGAAAAATGCTTCATGAGTATAATCCTATGAAGAATGTGTTTTCATGCAGAAGACAGCTTATGTGCCTGTGGCATCGTTCCCACGCAAATGCAAGTAGGGGTGACTCTCAGTAGGTGTTGCAGCAAAATCCAGTTGTATCACCCTACAAATTATTCATCAGAGTAGATGGGGCAATACCCACTGAGTCTGTCAAGAAAAAACAATAATATTCACTTAGTACAAAACACCCCTTTGTACTATTGTGCTGTTTGTACTTGTACCCCTTTGTACTGTTCCAATTCCAGAAGTACATGGGTGACAGTCTTGTTGATTATAGGTGGAGAAAGAAGAAATAGGACTCAACAAAGCGTTTTATTAAACATTTTTAGATAAAATACAATGACTGGGAGGTAGGGAAGGGGTCAAAATAAGAAACATTTGATGTTTTCTAGATATTCCTCTTTTGTTCTATTTATAGAAAATAAAGTAGTCTCTCAGAGTTTTCCCAAAGATTATGAGGTTTAACAAGCAGTCCATTGTAGCGTTTGTTAAACCCTGGTTTTGAAAGCTCTTGTCTTTGTTCCTATGTTTTGAAGGACTGCACTTTAAGCTGCTGGATTATAGTACTTACAGTTTACTCTTTGCTGGCTCAAATGTCTTTCACAGTGTTAGATTGTTATCAACTCAACTTTTTTTTTTTTTTTTTTTTTGAGACGGCATCTCACTCTTGTCGCCCAGGCAGGACTGCAGTGGCACAAGCTCAGCTCACTGCAACCTCCACCTCCCAGGTTCAAGCGATTCTCCTGCCTCAGTCTCCCAAGTAGCTGGGACAACAGGCGTGCAACCCCACACATGGCTAATTTTTGTATTTTTAGTAGAGATGGGGTTTCACCATATTGGCCAGGCTGGTCTCAAACTCCTGACCTTGTGATCTCCAGCCTCAGCCTCCCAAAGTGCTGGGATTACAGGCGTGAGCCACCACGCCCAGCTCAACTAAACTTTTCTTGGCGCTGTCTGTAAGATCCTAATCCAACAAGCTGAAAAAGTACATTTGCACAAGATTTTGCCAGCGTCCAAAGTCACATGATATCTTATGTTCTTCAGGCAACACATTGTCATTTGTTCTTAAATAATTGCCATTGGATTCCACATAAGCATGGCTTCATACAGCAAGTGTGTAAACATGATGATGGGTGCCCTGCAATAAGGAAATCCTACTAAATGATGTATGCAAGTTTTTGCTGTCAGAGCTCTCCTTGTAATTGAGAAGGAATTTCTTCAACACAAAACAGAATAGTGCACGATTATGCACCAGGGAGGAGTCCAAGCTTGGTAGGAGTTGCAGGTGCCGTGGGGTGGGACGAAGGACTAGTGAGCCATGGGACTGGAAGAAAGGAAAGGTAGAACTGGGGCTGCATGCTGGATGGACAATCAAAAAAACATCATCTCTAGGTGGCACCGAAGCTGTCCAGTGCCCCTCCTTCCTACCCACCTCCAAGCCCACAGCACCTGGAGAACGGGTTGAAGTTCTCTGTACATCCTTCCCCAACTAGACTGTGAGTGAACATGGTCTGTGGTTTATTGAGCTTTGTGGCACTTCCCATCCCCTAAATCCTGGCAGAGCCCCCAGCGCATAATAAATACCTTTTTAAAAATCTGAAGCAAAAGAGTAAATTGAGAGTGAATTCTTACTAAAACTATTAATTCAGTAGTGTGAATTCAATGCTTTGAATACATTTTCACAGAATCTTAACACTGATATAAACAACCTATAAATGATGCATTATGTCTTCTGTACCTTAGTAACTATTCCGGATGGGGGAGGATGGGAGCGAAAATGAGGAGGAGAAGGAAACCTGTTTGCTAACTGAAATTCCTGCATTTAATGAAAGTCTCTGCTTCTGTATCTCATAAGGTCTCTAAGGGAACTAGATTCCATTTCAGAACAGTTGCTGTGTTTCTAGCCCAAAGCACCTACTGACATTATTAAAATATAATAGCACAGCAGTATCCCCCTCTCTTTATTCTTGCTAGCACAATGCATTTGAAAGCAGTAAGCTGGCCAGATGTGGTGGCTCACGCCTGTAATCCCAACACTTTGGGAGGCCAAGGCAGGCAGATCACAAGGTCAGGAAATCAAGACCATACTGGCCAACATGGTGAAACCCTGTCTTTACGAAAAATACAAAAAACTTAGCCCGGCACGGTGCACGTGCTTGTAGTCCCAGCTACTCAGGAGGCTGAGGCAGGGGAATCACTTGAACCTGGGTGGCAGAGGATGCCATGAGCCAAGATCGTGCCACTGCACTGCAGCCTGGGTGACAGAGCAAGACTCTTGTCTCAAGGAAAAAAAAAAAGGAAAGCAAGCAGAAAGCCAAATGTGGAGAGCCTCTGTTTGAAAATAGGTCTTGAGATAGGTGCTTTAAAATTCTGTTTGATTTTCCATTTGTTACATTCTCTGTAACTGGGGAAGAAAAAATATTTACCACCCATATTTATTAGAACCCATCTCCTAGCCTGCCTCATCTCTGACCCTCCCCTGTGGTATTTAGCCAGGCATCTGCTATGGTCCTGGCACCAGGCAGTCAGTGATGAGTGACCCAGCTCCTTCCCTCCACATGTTCACCACAGAATACACCTAAGGAGGCAACTCATGCTTTTTCAGACTTGAGCCCCTGCCAAAGGACCTGGTGCTGAAAGTCATTTATAATTGTAATTTCTAATAACGTTTTGTTTTGTTTTGTTTTGTTTTTGAGACAGAGTCTCACTCTGTCACCAGGCTGGAGTACAACGGCACAGTCTTGGTTCACTGCAACCTCTGCCTCGTAGGTTCAAGCGTTTCTCCTGCCTCAGCCTCCAGAGTAGCTGGGATTACAGGCGAGCGCCACCATGCCCGGCTAAATTTTGTATTTTAGTAGAGACAGGGTTTCACTATGTTGGCCAGGATGGTCTCTATCTCCTGACCTTGTGATCCACCCACCTCGGCCTCCCAAAGTGCTGGGATTACAGACGTGAGCCACCACACTCGGCCTATAATAACGTTTTAAGTAAAACTCAAGGTCTGGCTTTTAGAAGACATAACTTAAAAACAGATTCGAGAAGCATAATTTCAATAAAGGATGCCAATAATTCTTGTTTATCAAGGCAAGCAGGACATAAGTGTGATAGACATTTGATTGTGAATCCTTGTAACTGTCTTGTACAAGACACACAGCCAGTGAAGGTGGTTACATCCAGAATCCTGGCTTTGTCTCTCTCTAACCTGAGGCCATGCTCTTCACAGCTCTTGTGTATTGAATAGGTCAGCTTTACAACCATAAAGGAAACCACAAGTTTAGCCAAGTAAAGAAAGACATTTGCAAAGTCATGGCAGGGTGTCTATCATGCCTTTGCAGTCTGTGTGCTATCACCCTTCACCACTGGGTTTCTTTCGGCTGGTGGTGTAATGTGTTGGCTTCCTAGGGGCTGTATGGAAATCTATGGCAAAACAAAACTCTTTTCTTTCCTTCTGAAAAAAAAAAATACGATCTGAAGCTAATTTATCATCACCAGGTAACCCTTCAGTGTTACTGTAGACAGAATTGAAAGAATAACTTCTGCCTTTGAAGAAGGCTGCAGGATGAGAATGAAATGGAGGATAGAGGACAAGGTGAAGGTGAAATCTTTCAGCATAGAAGTGCAGCCAGCCATCATGTCAGCCCCTACACACTGGTGATGTTCCCCAGCCTGTGGGAGGCAGATGAGATTGAAACCAGGCCATGCATGAGTGATCTGGAGGCCACAGGTAACAGTCACGCAGAGCAGAGAGCGCTAGATGACGTGGAGCTTGGGAGCACGGGCAGTTGAATGAGGGAGTAAGAAGCATTCTGGAAGCTGTAATGGGGAGCTAGGAGAATGGCAGAGTGATTGTGATGGAGTCCTTCCAAATGCCAGCAGAGCCCACGCTGTGGCCACTGACTTAGATGGAAGTCATGTTTACTGGGAGAGAAGAGGTTAAGGAACACCCAGGTGGACAATGAGCTCCTCCGTAATGAAGACAGGTACTGTGGAGTAAAGAGAGTTGTCATGGGAAATGAAAGAAGCCAGAATCCATTTTTGAGCTCTATGAAGTAATATATACATTTAATATATTTGTTCCTATAAGAGCTATATGTTTTGATAGCAAAAAACACAAAATTATGATTTCTATGAAAAATGTAATTCACATCCATAACATCTTACGGTTGTGTCTTGTTTAAAAAGTATGTAGGTTTGGCTGGGCCCAGTGGCTCACGCCTGTAATCCCAGCACTTTGGGAGGCTGAGGCAGGCGCATTGCGTGAGGTCAGGAGTTCAAGACTAGCCTGGCCAACATGGTGAAATCCCATCTCTACTAAAAATACCAAAATTAGCCAGACATGTTGGTGGGTGCCTGTAATCCCAGCTGCTTTGGAGGCCGAGGCAGGAGAATCCCTTAAACCTGGGAGGTAGAGGTTGCAATGAGGCAAGATCACCCCCCTGCACTCCACCCTGGGTGACAGAGCGAGATTCTGTCTCAAATAAAAGTATGTAGGTGTTTGTATTTTAGCTGCATTGCTAACATTTTGTAAATAGTGTTTTTAACGGATGAATGCTAATGTTTCTGTATATATATTTTTGTTTTTTTTAAAAACAGGTTCTTGATCAAGTGCCAGCTCTATGGATCCAGGACAGGTTTGTCCCATGACCTGCTGTGAACAGTGTATTGTCTGATAGAAGATTCGGTTGGCAAACCATCTCTCTATTGCCTTACAGAGCAAGCAAAGAAGATGTATCGATTGAAGAGCCGTCTGACTGTGTGCTTTCTACCTTCTGTGCCCTTCTTAATCCTCGTGGCCACTCTAGCCACTTCGAAGAGTGTGGCTAACAGCACTTTAAATGGCACTAATGTGGTCTTGGGCTCTGTGCCTGTAATCATTGCCAGAACTGACCATATCATAGTCAAGGAAGGGAACAGTGCCTTGATTAACTGTAGTGTGCATGGTATCCCTGACCCACAGTTCAAGTGGTATAATTCCATTGGCAAGCTGCTGAAAGAAGAAGAGGATGAGAAGGAGAGAGGAGGAGGTAGGATTTACAGTTGTAAAATGTCAGTAAAATATCAAAAGGAGCTTTGGAGCCGGCACCCCGATGTTAGTTGTTCTCATACAGATCATTTAAAGATCTTACCTTGTCTTGTTTTTCTTAGGCAGGAGAGAGGATATATATTCTTAAGCATTCCAAGAAGTAATTAATTCATTTTTCTTCACTCATTGACACAAAAGACAAAGGACAAACAGAAATCTTTTAAAAGGCTTCTTGGAATTGTATAATCTAACACATTCAATACATTATAGACACAAATGTAAAATAGATTTTCCTAAATATACATTCCATTTTTAAGGGAGTTTTGTTTTCTTTCATGGAGATGGCTGGAATAAACAATATGGCCAGTGTTTATCATTAAATGTCAGTATAATTCATTGTGGATTTAAAGACCACACTTTGGAAAGGAAACCTCAGTGCAGGTCTCAGCCACTGGCTGGGGTCCCTTTGTCTTCCTGGAGACCTGGCTGCAGTTTCTAGGCTGAGGCAGGGAGGGAGGGAGGATGCAATCGCAAGGAAGGGAGTGGGGCAACGGGAGACTGCTGGGTTTTTAATAAATGCATCTCAGACCAAAATGTGTGAAACACTCACTCCAGGAAAGAGTAGCCCAGGACAGGACTAGGTCTTCGGGAATCAGTGCATTTCTTCTTTTAGATGCGAGAAGTAATTGTCTGAAATCCCAAGCCTGGTGGGATTGAGCAGGAGTGCATCTGCTTTCCTGGGCATGTGCTGTGTGAAGTCGAGGGTCTGGGGTTCAAGAGTGAAGAGACAGTTGTTCTGAAGCGGTCGCTTTTTCGTTCCTTGCGCTCACACTGCCCTCCGGTTCCATAATTCTTTAACCAATGGACAATCCCCAGAAGAGTTTCTGCTACAGGAAAACCTACATTTTAAATCTCTTTCCCTCATTTTATCTTAATCGCTCTGAAAAAGGAATAGGGGCTAATGCCATCTATCTCCTTAGGAGCCAGGTGATGGAGCTTTCTGGCAGTTGCCTGCTTCTGGTTCACAGCTGTGTTCCGCATGGTTAGGGCTGCTAGCCATCTGAGTGGCCGGGATGTGGGGTTTGCTGTAATGCTGTCACTTACGTTGCTTTGGGTTAGCCAGTGAAGGTTGTACAACATTATAAAGCTTCTTCCTTTAAGTCAAAATATGATATATTATGAGTCATGTTTAACCTCGGAGAGTCGAACTTTTACCCACCATGAGGAACCGTGGGACTGTCGCAGAGATAAATTAGAAGGCACCATGGAGACGTTAGAGTTCAAATGTCCCTTTACTGAAATTTGCCCTTTATTTGAAATAGCAGGGCTTTCCTGCTGTTATTAAGTGGCTATGACTAGGCCCATAATCCCAGGCCTTTGAGAGGCTGAGGTGAGCGGATCACCTGATTTCCAGAGTTCGAGACCAGCCAGGCCAACATGGTGAAACCTCATCTCTACTAAAAATACAAAAATTAACTGGGCATGGTGGCACACACCTGTAATTCCAGCTACTCAGGAGGCTGAGGCAGAAGAATGTCTTAGACCCAGGAGGAAGAGGTTGCAGTGAACGGAGATCGCAGGACAGCACTCCAGCCTGAGTGACAAAGTGAGACTCTGTCTCAATTTAAAAAAAAAAGTGGCTATGACTAGAACCTTTACTACTGACAGTGGAAAGATGAGGGAATACAACCCCTGGCCCACACTGGTTTCCTACAGCCCCTTCCTCCAGCACAAGTGAAAAGGTTGTGATGTCACACTTGTGAGCAGAGGGCAGTAGCCATGGTAACAAAGACACTGCAGGCCAGGTACCTTAGCAGGTCTTTCCACAGGGCTGGGCCATCTCCGGGGAACCCAGGGTGACCGAATCAAAGGGAACAAAGACTCCAGACCTGGATCTACCTTTACATGGACCCTGAAGCAAAGGTTGTATCCCGGGTATTAAAGAGCTGGGCTTTGGCACTGAACTCAGTGCTAGAGAGGAAGAGAACTATGGGAACAGCCTAGAGCTGGGGCCTGGATTTCAGTTGCACCATTTTGAGGATTATCCCAAAGTGTAGTATCTTACTGCTTCAGAGATACTTATGCAGTGTCTTAGTGAAAAGGTCCTTGCTGCTGCTGACTCAGCGTTGGCAAGCTGACTACACGGTGCCTCCTTCATCTGTATATTGAGGGCGTTGATCCAGTTGGTAGTCATATTTGGCTCTGTTTTCTTTTGTTTCCGGGTGCTAAGATGGACTATAGTAGCAGCCGGTCAGTAGACCCCAAGCTGGTGGCCACCAGTCAGAAGCCTTTGGCACACAGAACCACTCTGTCAGAATCCAGCACTCCCGTCTTGTCACCAGCAGCCTTGCTGGCAAATCTGTTTTCAATCTCATAAGGAAAATGCACTTCCAAATTTTAAAAAGTACTCGTGCTACCAGTACTTGATGTTCCAGCTCAGCTTCTGTAATTACAATGCATAATGGTAATTCAGAGCATAAGCAACATGGGATAATATACAAAGCAGTGTACCTAACAACCAAGCAACACGCGGGAAACAGCAGAAACGAGGCTCTTGCTCATAAAATATCAGAATCTAAGAGCTGAATGGCCTATTGGAAAACCTATAGTCTTTAACTTTTCATTTCTGATGATGTTCATATTATAACATGAACATAGATTTCCATTTTCAGGCCAATAGGCTAGAAGTTTAAATGGAGTGGGTTTTGTTTTTTTTTTTGTAACTCAACAAAGAGGTGATTGAATATGGTGAGAAAAATACTAGGCTAGGCGCAGTGGCTGACGCCTATAATCCCAGCACTTTGGAAGGCCGAGGAAGGCGTATCACGACCATCCTGACCAATATAACAAAACCATCTCTACCAAAAATACAAAAATTGGCCGGGTGTGGCAGCGTGTCTGTAATCCCAGCTACTTGTGAGGCTGAGGCAGGAGAATCACTCGAACCCAGGAGGCAGAGGTTGCAGTAAGCCAATCACGCCACTGCACTCCAGCCTGATGACAGAGTGAGACTCTGTGTCAAAAAAAAAAAAAAAAGCTAGTATCCCAGAACCTTACCTAGGTACACTAACTAAGACTACTGTTAAAACCAAACAAAATGAATATAATTTTCATTAACAACTGCTGCCATTTACTCAGCCCCTGCACCAAGTGACATGTTATTTCTAGTCCTTATAATAAGCACAATAGTGAAGTGCTACTAATCCTCATGTATACAAATGAGAAACAAGGTAAAACCAGAGGATATGGCACAACCAGAGTGGCCAGCTGGTATTCATTCTCCTTCTGTGCCCACCAGCAGCATCCTTTAGGTTCCACTAGGTGAAAAATGTTGAAGAGCCTCTCACCCAGACTGAGCGAATGTGAGAATTCCTGGGTGGAAGAGGCATCTTCACTACGAATGGCAAGGTCAGACAGGGTTAGGATTTGTGCTGGGATGTGCGTGTGTACATGGCATGCACATGCACAAAAAGGTGTTCACAGTCATCAGGTGAGTCACTCAAGGAGCATACCGCCGCTCACTTTGTGATTAGCCTGGAAAGGAGCAATTTCATGTCTCGTTTCTGCTGGAAAGGTGAGAGTGCTGTAATTCCTGCCAGCCCCTCCAGGCCCAGGGAGAATGGGGCTGTTTCCTGTCATTGGCAGGTTTGCTTTGCTTGCCTGGTGCTGTCACTTCAATTCCGGATCAGGAGAGGCTAATGTGTGATCTCCCTCCGGAAGACTTTGGATTTTGTTTTTGTAGTTCAGCAGAGAACCTATTTGCAGTGGTCCACCTACCATAAAGCAAACAGCACCAATAACCACAAATGGCCACGAAATAGACTGTCTTCAGTTTTCCTTTTGTAAGGAGTAGAAATGTGTAGTACCCAGGAAGTAAGTCCTGATTATTTCAGGCACTAATTATCCAATGTATTTTCACTGTTGCTTCTCACTGTGACTTGAAACCATTTACATTAACATTAGCACCTGTCTGAGATGATAAGTAACAAGGGTTTTAAGAAAGGCAGCTGGTTTCGGCCCTTGTAACCATGTCTGGTTCGTTAGAGATTACGTTTGAAATTCTTCCATCAAGTCGGTTTTTTACTTTCTGTGGATTTGTTTTCGGTACTCTTGTAGTTTCTGGTTGCCAAAAGCAATTAGGCACTGAATCCACAACTGTCACAGCTGCTCTTGTAGTGCTGTGGAATTCATTAGTAGACGTTTTGCCTCTAGTTTACATCGCTTTATTGTGTTTCTCCCTCTACTTTTGCAGGTTTCTTTGAATAGATTGTAATATGCCTCTTTCAGCAAGGGACCATGACAAGCTGTGTTAGCCAGTGTTAAGACTGGAGTTATCACCTCTCTACTTAATATCTATATATCAAGAGGTTGGTGTCCACAGCATTAAATGTAAATTATTCTTAACCTCTAAGATCAGTGTAAGGGGTGTATTAACCTGTTAGACTGAATTCCTTGTTTAGTATCTTAAATATTTGAGATTTAAAAACACTCATCAAAGCCAGGTGCAGTGGCTCTCGGCTGTAATCCCAGCACTTTGAGAGGCCAAGGTGGGAGGGTCAGTTGAGCCCAGGAATTCAAGAGCAGCCTGGGCAACATAGTGAGACCCTGTCTCTATAAAAAAATTAAAAGTTAGTAGGGCTTGGTGATATGCACCTGTAGTCCCAGCTACAGTGGAGGCCGAGGTGGGAGGATTGCTTGAGCCTGGGAGTTTGAGGCTGCAGTGAGCCTTGATCACAACACTGCTCTCCAGCCTGGGCAATAGCAAGATGCTATCTCAAAAACAAAACATCAGAAGGTACCAAACACAGTTTATGATTTGCGAACATATTATGTATGGATTATTGGAAAATAGTTAATTAGGAATATATTACTGGAAATTCAGAAGATTCACACTATATAGTCTTTAAGGAAGTTCTTTGACTTTTCTGAACCACAGTTTTCTCATCTGTGAAATAGAATCCTTTTTCACTACAGGTGGGACTGTGAGTTTTAAATGCTTAG